AACAAGGGGGTTTTGTTTTAGCTTTCCCATAAAGTGCTGCCAAGTTGGCTCTCTTTTAAATCTTTGGCCACAAATTTAGAGGTAATTGTGTATTTATTTGTTTTTCTTAATTTTAGTTCTTTGTCCTTCGGCGGGGTTTTATTGCTTTAACTGCCATACTGGCTTTTACTGAGTAGCTTTCCTTTGGTGAATGTTTTGCCACTCTAGTGTGTGTTTGGTTCATAGTATTACAGAAGTATAGTATATTATCATCTAGTGGAACTATAATATTTTGTAGAATTCCCCAAACCCTTTTGATTTCATAGGAAACTGATGGTCATCATTTCTTTAAAATGGAAACTGATAACTTGTTGATAAATAGCTTCAACATGGATGATTACCTTGAGTTTCAAAGAAGGGCTATGGTGTTTCCTGAGTCTCACTGATTCATTGTTCATTGATCATGAGGAGATCATTCAGTCCTTTTGAAGCTCCATTTTTCTTCTTGTATAAAGAAAGGCTAATGTTATACATCTAGCTTTACTGGAAGCGTGCACGCTTAATCATTTGGTGAGTGGCACATATTTTGAGCTCTCTAGACTAAAGGTTCCACATTGGCAAGTGCCAAACATGAATCATAATCTTTGTTTTCCGTAATCACTGCTGTTGTGATAATGATAAATGTTGTTCATTTATAGACCAGATTAATATTTCCAGGCGTCACGATTTTTGTGATTTACTTGACTCTCTACTGTCTGAATTGGAGGGGCAGCAGGCAATCAGATAGCCTTAGGTGACCCAAATAAAACAACAGGCAATTTAACCTAAGCATGGATAAAACCCTGATAAACTTGCTGAAACTAGAGCTTTTTCACTTTGAGTTCCTCTCCTGCCTGCCTCAAGTCAGGTGTGACCTCCTTTGTGAGGACTGACAAGGAGACAGTATTACTTAGAAAATAATTCTGGCATGTTTCTGAATCAGAAAGAGGAAAGGTCAGTCCTCCTCCATACTTATTCCACGGGAACTAGGTAAGGAGCTCCATCACCAGGATCCCGTTCCCATTTACCTCTCCATACTGTGTTTCCCAAACAATAATTGGTACACAGCCATCAGTGGCCATAAGTGGCCTTCAAATGACATCACCGTAAGATGCAAAGACAAATAGTATGACATACCAGTTTCTCCTTACTGTTCATCACTTTCACTCGCAGCCTTGCACTACTTCCACATGCTCTTCTTTGGTATTTGACATTTCTGTGATTACATTGCTCTTTATATCCAAAGTACAACATGCCTAGTATCAGAACGTTATTAAGCTATTACCTTGCAAGATGGACGCACGCCTTCAAAAGCCATTATAATGGCTGTGGTTTCGTTACTGCTGTACTTCCTTTAAAGCCAGGTAATCTCTACACAAGATCTCTGTAGGTAATCACTCTTCACAGAGGTCATTTGCAATTTCATAGCAAGTTTCTATGACAAAATATTTTTTTCTTACTTGTTTAAAACAGTAATTTAGTCCTAGAGGAAGATCCTGGCTGAGTTGACCAGTGACTTGTTTTCCCCTGGTTAGTCACAAAACGAGCCTCATTCGATGGGCTGCTTGGCTAAATTTCTGTGACAAATATGCCTCTGCCTTGACCTAGAGGAACTGTCTCCAGTGCTGACAGGAGGAACTGAGACTTTCAGTGATAACACATATCCTTTATAGATTTTACTGAGCAACAGAGTACCTGCTAAACTTAGCCTGAGCTGTAAATCCTTGCTCTCCCACTCCACCTTCTGATCTCTTTTTTCCTTTACGTCTGTGAGGAGGAGTGGGCACGCACTGAATGCCACCAGAAGAGTTGGAGCAGAGTGTAGGAGCACATGAAGTCCTGTACAGCCAGATTGTGACTGGTTCAGGTGTAGATAAACAGTTCACTGGTTGCTGCAAGCTTTTGGATTTGCTGCAGCCTTGCGGGAAGACACATCTTTGAAGAACAGGAGAAGAACATTTTGGAACTATTGGTACACATAATGTTTAGAATTTATGTTTGCCAGCATAGTCTCTAGGCAACTTAATAATAAATATATGCCAGACAGAATATCAGAAATAAGAGCAAGGCAGCGTGATTTCCTATGGCACCCAGACTAGCAGAATGATTTTCCATCTCACAATTTACATTGAATATTCATGACGATGTGTCCTAGAGAGTCTTCTCCAGAGGGGTGCTCAGGGCATATTCTGCAGTCTGTGGCAGATCAAAGGTAATCTGCTTTTGTTCATCCCAACAGCAAAAAACTCCCTGATTTTACCCTCTTTGTAGCGTCACTGTTGTGTTTAATCTTTAATACACAGGTATGTGTAGTTTACAGTATTCTCTGACAAACAAGTAACCTAGCTACAGTGGCAAAGCAGGGCATGGGTGAGCAGGGAATGTCTTAAATAGAGTTTCACGGATAATTGCGGCTGATCTATCGAGTCAAAGTCAATGTTGAGGTTTTTAATGGAATAGAATAAGAAGCTGATGTTTGTTGCCAAAACCTGCTGGAAGATTTCAGTCAAATGTGCCAGGGATAATGAGGAAAAACCAGGGTGTTTTATGCTAAGACACTTTTGAAAATTAAGTAATACAAAATGCATTTACTTGTCTTGTAGGCCTAACTGTCAGTCCTTGTGTGAAGAGTGAATGCATTCCCTCAAAGAGCAGAGAGAATTTCAGAAGTATCAGGTAAAAGATATAAGCCCTCATGATGCACATTGACTTCTGAAGGCATATTAAATGGCCTACGTGGCAAATGCAAGTTACAAGTGTTCTTTATCTATAGACCTCTCGGTGACAAATAGGTCTAGAAGTGAAAATAATCTCAAGATCTTATCCTCTCATGCTGATGAAGCGAGAAGAAAGTATTATGTTAAGCAACGGACATTGCAAGGAGCTCATTTGATGAGGCTGAAGGCTAAAGGCCAAAATATATGGGATCTGATGGAGGCAGCACGCCTTGCACATTGTTGCAAAGTATCTGCAGGATTGCTGAATGCACAAAGAATTGTCACCTGTATGTCTAATACAGGAGTAAGTACTGATCATCTTAAAATATCAGATGAGATCTAGGAATATCTCTTAAAAACATATTTTTAAATACTGTAGCATGACTACAACCCATCCTGTTGCAATTACAAGCAGTATCAAAGCAATAGTCATCATCATGCTTACATGGCAGCTTACATCACCAAAGCTTTATACAAACACCAATTAACCCTCTCAACAATGCTGCAAAGTGTCATTATGTCTGTTTCAGAGATGAAGCAACAGAGATGCAGAAAGATTTGCCCAAGATTGCACAGCAAGAGAAGAGAAAAGTTCAAGAGTTTAAGGCTTTCAAGTTGGTGTTTCTTTGTCCATGTTGTGGCAGACTCTACCCTTGCCTGGGTGGAGTTCTGTATTTACTGCCATTGCTTTTGTGGTTCTGGTGGATAGGGAAGATTGAATATCTTCTTGTTGCATTTGTTTTTCGTTTTGGTTGGGGTTTTTGTTTGGTTGTTTCTTTAAAATGTGCTAGAGACTGGACAAAAATCTCCTCGGCAAGCAGGGACCCTCCAACAAACAGGGCTCAGACTTTGAACAAACGGTTGTGAAGAGTTTGTAACGTCTGCCTTTATTTTGGGTTTTATATAGTGCTGATAGGGTAAATTCAGTGCGAAAACACCACTAGGCCAGTTTAGCTCCTTTCGGTTACAAACCATTCCTGGTCTAACTTTTGGGGGGTTGCTCAGGGACTTCTGTGGAGGGTTTCTGTTAGTGCCAAACAGACAGGTCAGACCAGGAATATTTGTGCTGTCCAGGTGGACTATTCACTCCACGTTACTCATGGTGAGGTGCAGGTCATAAGAATCACGTGGCAGAATTTCTACTCTTTGATTGGCTAGTAAAGCTTTCCCGGGCATGAAAAAAATGAAAAACAAGTGATTAATAGCAAATCTTAGGGCTTACTGGCTACATACGGTGCTTTCCCTGTGAATAAGCACACCCCAAACATCAGAGCAAACAGACCCAGAGCACAGGGACGTTCACGGATCTTCCAGATAATCTTCTGCAAGTTTGAATGAATCAAAAATAAGTCATCTATGCCATCCTTACCTCTGCCTAGCATTTTGGATCACCTTTGGCATCACTTAAAGGTTACAAAATGATCTCCTTTTTTAAAGCCAGGTCTTCTCTTCAGCCACAATGCTTCCCTGAGGGTTTACCTGCACTTAGAGGATTATTACCATGCTTTTTAAAGTTTTCAGCACTGGTAGCCTGTATAGAGCTGTTTGTGTGTTTGCCATTGGGGCTTGACTTTGCAATTACCGATTCGGGCACGGGCAGAGTTGTTTAATGAGAAAGTGAAGGAATCCTTCAGAGGCTGCTGATGGAAAATATAGTATTGCACCGGAATTTAACCCAAAAAGCATCCATCTAAAGAGTTATGACAGCTGACACAGCCACTTATGTAATAGCTAGTTTCAGTTACTGATTTGCTAATGACTGTTTTGCCCTTGCGCAGTTTGTTCCCGGTTTCTTCATTCCCCTCCTTCCTAGTTGCCATACTGTAGTACCTCTTCCTCTTGTTGACATCTGTTCTAGTTCCCAATAGGAAAGCCCGAAGTTACTGGATTGATTAACCCCAGTGAATCGCTACCAAACATTGCATTGCAATATCTGTCCTGGTTACCAGGAGGAGTAGGGATCGCCAGGGGAGATCTGCTTGCCTACTGCCAGAAGACAGGAGCCACGAGTGCTATCTACCACTTTCTCCAGGAGCTTGGACAACTGCTTGGGGAGATTTAAGCTTCATCTGTGCTGGAGTTATGGTATCTGTGATTCCAGGATGGTTGCATCTTGCATGTCCACAGAACAAGAAGCTTTTACTGATCTTCTCCAACCTCTGCCAGTCGTAATTGCATCAGAATTCCTACAGATCCTGCGTCTGAGCTGGAGTAGGATAAAAAAAAAAAAAAAAAATCCCCTAGCAAGCAGGATCCTACCAGCCTGCGAATCTTCAAAATTGGCTGAGGGCTTGACAGGTCTGAACTGGTGGAACAACATCTATGAAGGCCCGTGACTAAAGAACCAAGAACAGAGAACAGGAAGAGAAACAAAAAAGCAGGTGTTATCCCAAAGGGATGACAGGAGCAGCTACAGACGTCTTACTCAGAAAGGTGAGTGAGTGGCAATGAATGCTTGGTCATACTGAAAGCAAGCAGGATTTTGCTACTGAGGCTGCATTTTTAACCCTCTGCGCCTCTGCTGGAGGCTTAATGAAAAGCAGGGGTTACGTGGGGCCTCTTCATAACAAGGGGTGTAATTAAGGAATATTTAAATGGCTGGTGACTAGCAGAATATGCATGTGCTCATTGCTGCGATTTCTGGGGTTTGAAAGGATGTGCCAGCTAGCTTTAGCCTTGCTAACTCAAGCACTGCTGTGATAAAACCAGAGCACTAGGGAGCTCAGCAGAAGTTAAGGAGTGTTTACCTAATTCCTTGAGCAGGTTTGGCAACCTTTGCAGCATTTGAAGCTGCCTTGGCTAGATGCACACCAGTGCAAAAGGGACACAAAGGTACGCCAGTGCTACCCTATTTCTGCAGGCATAACTCGCTGTGGTTTCATGATATAGATCCCCTCACCCAAAGCATCGCACAAGCAAAGCAGTGAATGTTGGGATTCCCGGAAGAAATTTTGGTGAGCAGAGCTTCAACACAGAGATTGCAGGAGATGAGGAAAACACCTGAAAAAAAAATCAGTCAGTTTAGGAACATTTTGGGGCAGGATCTAAAGGAGACATTAGGCAATGTTTGGAAGCTCTCCAGGGACTGCCTTTGTTCTGCTTCTTGCATAGGACTGAACAAGCTGCCAGCACTTCCATAATACCTTGGAGTACTGCTCCTTTCTCCAGTAGGACAGCAGAGAAACAATTTTGTGTTCTGCTTTGAAAAGATGACAAAGTGGTTCTTCTGGCTAGTAAAAACTAGGCAAAAATACAGGAGGCAGAGCCTGATGCATGCCAGTTCAAGTCCATACACAGCACAACCAACCAACAAATGCAAAAAGGAAACACTGGGAGTTTCCTTTTTCTATGGTTGCCCACAGGAGTTTGTCTGCCTTGGAGTGGGAGGAGGAATAGACTGGCTCATCCAGTGGCCATGAAGAAAGCACTGTGAGGGAGTTTCCACAAAACCAGAGGAGACAAGTCACACTGATTTCAGTGAGAGGAGAACTGGGTTGGCATGCTGTGTTCTGTGTAATGAGAGAAAATGTGGGAAGATGGTTTGACAGAGTAACCTGGAGCATTCCAGGAGAATAAACGCCATTCATGCAGGAACAAGTGACGTGAGTAAAGCAAGATTTGCTAAAAATCAAGATTAAACTGTAGATCTGCGAAGCCTGCTGCAGGCAGGAGGGTACAGGGTCGGCTCCATACCCCTTCCGCTGCTAGAGGCAGTGGATGCCAAAGGCTGCTTTTCTCTTTGCTCACAGACTGAAGAACAATGTAGAGAAAAAAAGTGGGGACTCTCCAAAAGACACGGGCGAGTTGAGGAATAACAGAAAGTAACGAAACACTTAAGTGTGAGAGAGAGTGATAATATGAAACAAATGTGACAAGGGAGAAAGTTAATAACAGAAAGACAGTTTGTGTGGTTAGTGGACAGCAAATTACGGTGAAGTTTCCAGTGTGGTATGGCACCAGGGAAAGCTGCTACAAGTGGGGGGATTTTGATGTGTCATTTCAGGTTGCTGGTTTGTTTTAGGCCTCTCGGTGCAAGCAATTTGCAACCAGCTGGGAAAGTCTTCATGAATGTGTAGCTGAAGTCTCCTCTCTTGTTCCTGTGTAAGCCAAAAAGTGGGATTTATGTGATTAGGAAAAGCATTTTTATCTGTCTGGTCAGACCACCTCACTGCAATTCAGTGTTCTCATGAGAAGTCCAGACACTCTGGCACCTTTTGTTTTGGACATTTAAAATTATGTTGGACAAAATATTAATATCTGAGCTCTAGAGGACTAGCCAGCCACAGCAAGGACGAGCTAGGAATGATCGCTAAGCTTCTCCAGTTTAATCTCTGACTCTTTCACTCAAGCCTGTAGCAACAGCAAATGTAATAAGGGGCAGGCACACTGAATGTGCTACACGCTGGTCATCTGCTTAGTGTCTAATAATAGCCAAAGTCAGTGTTACGGGAGAGATTTGCTTTACAGAGAGCAAAACTTTTTTCACATGCACCAGCTGTAAGGAAATATTCAAGGATAAACCCCACGATTGTGTGGCAGTAGGTTTCCCCAAGTGCCTGAGTCCGTTCCACAAGGAACATTAATTCATCGAGTAACTCTTTTGCCCATCTCAAGTGGCTAAAGACTCCTCTCTCTGCCTGCAAGATCCTCTTGGTACCTCTCTTCTGTTACTCTGAGCTGGTGCTGATACAAAGACAGGCACACATTCAAAGGCGTGTTTGTACGGTCCGATTTTCGTTTCTGTTTCAGCAATCTAACAAATAGGTGAGAATTGTATTATCGTCCACGCTGAGCGTGCACAACCATCAAGGCTGATGTGGAGCCAAGGGTCAAGAGTGAAGGTTGGACAGTTCCCTTAATATGTGACAGCAGTGAGAAAGCTTGAAAGCAAAATGACAAAATTCCTTTATTTTGTTTACCTGTGTTGTCTTCGTCAGCTAAATGGGGCATGATTCCATTCCTCTCAGCTGGGGAAGGAACTGCAATTCAGGGAAAGGGCTTTGAAAACTTCCAGTGTGGGAGGCATCCTTCTGTGTAAAGCATAACAGGTCCAGAGGGTGTATTCAACCACCAACAGCTGCTGCTGCTACACGGGGCGTGCAGGACCCTTACTCCTTCCCTCCGTTACACTACTATGAGAACTAATAAACATTTTCTACCCAACTGAAAATAATTCCACTGCAGCCTTTTTACAACCCTAAAAGACTTTCTCATGAAAGTTATCTCCATAATCTGTTTCTGTATTTTGAAAGAAACATCAACTTCTTAACCAGCAAAAGAGTTCTCTTCCCCTCTCCTCCCAGTTCAGGATACAGGATGACAAATGAGCAAGTGCAGACAGAAATGGTATCTTGCTTGAGGGACGGCATTGTCTGCATATCCAGTTCGTCTCCATTTCCTGCAGGAAAAATTCATGGCAGGCTCACAAGGTATTGTTCTGATGTGTTGCCAGAGAATCTCTACACTGAGGCCTGCAGCCATAATGAAGCAACAGAATTTGTCTTGTGTATGTTCATTGTGCAATAATTTCATTGTCAAGGATTTATTGTTGCCATTTTCTGTTGCACAATATAAAATGAAGAGAGAAAGAAGGGTGGGGGACAAATAAATGTACATGACAGAATTAGGTTTTCAGTGTTCTGAGTTTTCTAATGAGAATTTAACTACTTACATCTTTGTCAGTCAGTGACAAGTGGCTCTGCTCCAGCTGTTCATTCAAGAGCCAACTGGATTTTTTTTTAATCAAAAGTTTAATTTTTACACCCCCAAATACAGGATTTTATTTTTTTTTAAATTTAAAACATTTTCCAAATATTTTTTGGTGGCATTTCCTTTTAATACCAAAGAGGGGTAAAACACCTTGATAGCAGCTGGTTAATAGGATTCACATCTTTTAGATTAATTGTTTTAAAATTTGAGATGAACGTTCTACATGAGGTTTGAGGTTTTTTTTTCTAAAACTAAATCCAGCACAAAGCAGTTGTTAAAGATGTAAACAGGATTGAAATCAGTCGAACTCAGAAGGCTATGTTTCCCCTCATCTCTGTCCTTCCTTTCTTCTTTTGGAAATCAATTTCATAAGAAATTTCAATTGTTTTCACAAATGACAGTTTTTCAGAGCTTCCAGTGTAATAGAAAATGGGATTCCAGCCAATTTTTGAAGGCAGGCAGGAGCTCTGCTGCTCTGATTTGGAACTCTAAACATTATCCATATCCAGAGTATTGATATTTTCATATAGCAAGCATCTTGCAAAATCATTGCAGAGCTGTTTTCCAACTGGGCACATGTCAGTACTAATTATGCAAGCAATCTGAGGTGCTTTGTTTTAGCAGTCCCAGGATTCCAAATCTCCTTCTGCATTACTTATGCAGACTTTTGCAAGTCTTAACTAAGCAGTCTTACAAAACCAGGGTGTTCTGATTGAAACTGAGCGTTGTGGCTGATTTAGTCTATTCAGGTCTCAACATCTGAAGATTTAAATTGTTAATTGGGTATGGGATAGCCCACTACAGATGAGCAATATTCTTGGAGAAGCAGGAAGAAATCCACTGCCACGTGTGCCTTAGACTGAGTAGCTGATCATTTCAGATTACACTGAGGTATGTAATTCCTCAAGCACACCTGTGGAAACCTTAATGGCTTCAATTACAAGTGATCATGCAAGCCTCCGGAAGCCATGGGAAGAAGGCAGAAAGGTAGTTCCTTGATGGGAAAGTTCAGAGCGGAAAGAACCTCAAAGGATCCATGGTTACTTCCCTAGGTGTTTGTAGAAATTAGGGCTAAAACGCTATTCGAGCCGTCGGGAAAAAAAAAAAAAAAAATTAACACACCACCATTCAAACCGACTTTAACTCAAGCGTAACCTTAATGTTAACTTGTTTGTCCAGTTCATTCACTTCCTATTATTCCCTGGATCATGCTTTGAATAATTTCCATGATCTGTTTCTTAAGTCCTGCCCCTTTTGATGTCATCGATTCGATCCATATAGGCTGGACAGCTCCCAATGTATCTCCAGTTAGAAAAGGAAATCTGAAACCTTTGGACCAAGACCTGTCTTCTGCTCAGGATAAAGCCGAAGGCTGAGTTTAGTGGCTACTCTAAACACTCAAAGATAGAGTTTCTGCCAAGGTACTGTGGGATGTTTTGCAATTTGGTCTTAGTTGTTATTACTGTGTGTTTCTGTATATATGTGTGATTGATGTGTAGATACCTGTACACATGTTAAATATCTGACTACATGACATTCATCTGTCAGTGTTTAGTGTGTGTTGAGCATTGAGTTGCTGTGATAATACCTGAACATATACCTGTTTGCCACTGCTGTGTAACTTCCACTGACTTTCTTATAACCTGCAACCTCTCTCCAGGCACTTACCACAGACAAAACAGGCACCCGGTCAATGTTTTGTTGTCCCTGACTGCAATTGCTATGTTAAATAACTTAGTGGTAAGCTGATCTGGGAAACCAGTGGCGAGAGGATGTTCTGTTGCCTGTACACACGTGTGTTTTGAAAGATTCCCTCTGGGGTTTTTTTGCATTATCATATGCTTTTTCATTTGTTATTTTAAGAATGCAGATTCAACTGGTATGAACTAATTAGCCGCAGCGTTAAAAGCCCAGTCAGAAAACTCTATAGATTGTCTCTGAAAGCCGTGGCTGGAATGTTTACAGGTGGTTTGGTTTTTTTTTTTTAGATTCAAAACTATACATAGAAAAAGTGCGTGTTGATAGATTTGATTTAGCATTCACTTTTGGTAACTATTGCCTTTTATTCTGCTCTGTCTCATTAGAGCAAGCCTGACTAGTGAGACTAATACAACGGTAATAAATTAAATTTTCCTCTTTTAGTCTCACGCAATTTTCATTTCTATCTTAAACCACCATAAATATTTAAGGACTTATTCAATAGATTTATTAAGGTACACTACAGGCTTATTTTCATTTATTCTTATCTGAATAAAATGAGAAAGAAAGAACTTAATAAGATAGAGGTTGAACATGCAATTTAGCGTAAGAGTTTAATCTGTACAGTGTGTAACAGTTGGGGGTAGCAAGACTACCATGGATTTGTTTCTGGAATTTGCCACAGACAGTCCTTTTTGACTGAAGAAGCATTCAGATGTAAGCCTTCAGCTGTAAGCTTGGCTGATGAAATTTGTCACCAGGGGTTCACAGTACTGTGGCTCTGCATGGTCTGTGCGGGAATAACGGTTTACCTATGCGTGCACTGCAGAAAAACAGCATTTCCTTGTAGCAAAAACGGAATTGCTCATTTCCCACCTCAATCCTTTATCACACGTGTTTTCTTTTAATTATGCGTGCCTTTTTAAAATATTTTACTTTGCTTGGGCTTCCTTTACGTGTTCAATGGCAAGTATATCTAAGAAATTTGAAAAAAAAAAACCCCAAACATTTAATTATAAAAGTATAAAGGATGTGCAAAGGCCTTTGAGATACTTTTGTATTATTGTTCAACAATATCTCAGAAAATACATAGTATGGCGTCACGGTCTTTGGGGAAAAGAACTTGTGATAAACTGGGTTTCCTTGTCAGGGAATACACTTTTGTGGTCTATTTTAAAACTAATCTGGCTTTTGGCAGGCTCTTCACTCCTGAAGGATTATTCCTAATCTTTCTGACCTGCATAGGTACACTGATGAGACTGCTTTAGCAGCTTGTAACTCTAAGATATCATTTCATATGAAGTGGCCTCTTCCAAGGACCTTTGAAATAAAGCCATGTTTTAAAATGGAGAGGTCTGGCTGGGGACGAAGGCACTGCAGGTCAGGGGACTAGTGTCTATCAGCTGAGGTGTGGTAACCCTCCCTGGCACCTCAGGCTCAGCCACCACCACACACTTCCACTCAGCAAGGGGCCTGAGCTTTCGTTTCATTATCACGTAGCTCGCTTGCAACAATTCTTTCATTATTTGTGCGCTTCTTGTCTTCAAACTCTGCTGCTGTATTTCTAAGATTTTTACTTGGAGTTGAGGTTGAACCAAAGTCTTGTACTCAGTAAACTTCTCTTAATAACATAATAGGCAGGGTGATTCACAGAGTGCTGTAATGTTGGGAACTCACATATTACAGGACTTGATGTCATGTTCAGTAAGTGGAGGTATGTCAACATTAGTCCAATGTCCCAAACTGGTACTAAAACCTAGGAGGATGTCCTCAGTCCGTGCTGGCTAAAACATGAGCGTAAATAATGTTCACACTTCCATCAGCATAAAGTCTGAAATTATCTAGAGTAGCAGAGTGGATGTTTTACTTACTGTGACAAAGGAGATAGGGATTTTGATTTCTGGTTATGCCACTCTTTTGGGGTGATTTCCAGTCTCTGTGCTGCCTTTTCACTTCTGTAAAATAGAAGGAGAAGATTTTTAGATTCCTGGAAGAAACTATCTACATAAGAAATCGGTGGCAAAATTTCTGTTAATAGCAGTAATTAATATTTGTGGTCTTCAGAAGGCACCCAAGAGCATTTTATTTTAGGTAACATCTACAGTGCTTTATCCACATCCTAATTTGGTTCATCCCCTCTGTGGTTTCAACCGAGGTGATGTTTTTCTTCACTTCCTTTCCTAAATACCCAATTCTGCTTATCTGAACTATGAAATACCTCCTGTATTTCATCTTGGAAGTGGCTCTGTTTCAGGGATGGCAGAAATTAATCCTGTTTACCTCCGTTCTGCAGAATGAGAGATCATAACAGCAAAAATTAGAAGCGGACTTGTCCCTTTTGTTCACTTGGAAGTTGGATTTATCCCGATTCCTTGGCATAAGGATGAAGCCGTATAGTTAGTTCTGAGACAGCCCTGTTCCAGACCTACAGGCCAGCATGTTTCCCTAGCAATATGCTCACAATAATAAATTAGTTACAGGTCTGCATTAATGCCCAGTGAGACGGTGTTTCAGAATTCAATGCTGGCCCTTAGCGTTCTTCGAAAGAAGAAAACTACACACCCCTTTGGCTGCAGAGTTCTCTGCAGCTTGTGTATTAGTCACTTTTAACTTTGCATATCCATACAAACAGAGAAGTCGTAGTGTAAGTGGGGTGGAACGCCCCGAGTTCATTCGGCAGTGTGCAGAACATTTGACCTCTCTGCTACTTCCTGGTGTCCAAACTCTGGAAAGAGTCTCAGCTCACAGTCATTTCCAGCTTTTGCTAATAACAAACTCACTGGCACCCTGTTGGAAAGAATCCATAGACTGGCCATGGTCTTTTGCACAAGCTAATAAGATTTTTTTTTTTTTTCGTTTTTCTTGAGCAGAAACATACTTAGAGAATGGAGCAGGAAGTGGCAAGAGAAGAAGGAGAGCGGAAAGAAGGTTTGATTGAGTTTTATGATTCCTTCAAGGATATGTTTGAGTTCTTCTGTAAGAACACGACAATCCATGGCACCATCCGCCTTGTATGCTCAGACAGCAATCGGATGAAAACAGCTTTTTGGACTCTGCTCTTACTTGCCAGCTTTGGCATGTTATACTGGCAATTTGCACTTATGTTCAGCCAGTACTGGGCCTACCCTGTTGTCCTGACCATGTCAATGCATTCAGAGCCCAAGATGTTTCCAGCAATTACCATCTGCAATCTGGACCCCTACAGGTAACCTGTGCTTTCCCCTTGGCTCTAGTCATGTCTTTAGAGTCACAAGGGTTCAGGAAGGGTCAGCAGCCTGAGGACTGCAGCCTGGAGGAGGCTGAAGGCAGGGGAAGGCCAGCAGAGAGACGTATCTCTGCCTCACAGAAGTGGAAAGGGACTGTTGTTATTTCCAAACTGCTTTTAAGATAAGATCTTGTTGAAATTGTGCAACAGCATGTAGCAGTTTATTTCATGCACTGAGTCAGGATAGAGGGAACTCTACCTTGTGACTGGGTTCAAGCTGCTAACTGATTTTGTGCTCCGATAAAAAGAGTCTTTCCCTGAAAAACGTGGCTACTGTGTGTGCTCATTCCTAACCACGCTACAGATCTCTAGAATGAGGCATGCTACAGCTGATTCTGCTTGGTTTTTCATACCACAGAATGGTTTTAAGGAAACAGTATAACTTCTGTGGAGGTCTGCGCGGCTCTGCTTGTCCAACAAGGCTCACACAGCAGGGGCGAGTTACTGAGAAGTTTCAAATTGCATAGTAGATGAATTATGTCACTTCCGCAGAATAATTATCTAATTGGCTGAGTAGAAGGCCAGTTTGTACAGATGATGCTGCACAGCTACCAGCTCTGAGGTTTTCAGTGAAGGATCCAACAACTGGAAATTCAGCTACTTGAGCTCCTAATAAATTAATTTATTGAAGTTAGGTTTGCTAAACATAGGCACCATAACTGCTGGCTTTTCTCACACAGGCATCAAGGTCTGCAGAGACCGGGAGAGTAACCTTCCATAGATACTGTAAGAGTGCATGAAATAAAGTGCTTTAGAAATAGAAATGTGGATGTTCACAAATAGCTAATATTTCTGCTCCTTGCAGGTTTGAACTGGTTAGTGAACATTTGGTTCAGTTGGATCACATGGCGGAGGAATCGATCGCTTTTTTATATGGCATCAACACATCAGCCAGCTTATTCCACGTGAATGAGAAAAACATCCACATAAAAGACTTGACCAGCATAGGCAATCTCAGCAGATCTAGCTTCAAGCTCAGCCAAAACTTCTCACTCTTGAGAATGTCTGACCACAATAACCGGTCAGGGAAGAAGCATTCCAGCGTGGGCTTCAGGCTGGTAAGTGCGTGTCCTCTTGGAGATTTTAACCTGGCTACAGACACGAGCAGCAAGGACTGGCTGCTCCCTAAAGGGCTGGGGGCAGAGGGGGAGTGCATCAGCAGGGGAGGGTGAGGACCCATCCCACAGTACCTGAGCAAACGAGCAGGGAAAGCTCACAGAAGGTGGCCAGGTCCAGCCAAGAGTCCAAAGATCTCCCAAAGTGCATTCAAAAAAATAAGTGAAAAAAATAGAGTTTGGGTGCTGTGCAATGATAGCTTGGAGGATGTTTCAGGACAGTCCATCCCTGCCTCTAACAGTTTGTGCTGATTGCTAGGAATTATGTGAAGTGAAACAATAACAACGTCAATGATCTCACACAGCCCACCCACTTGTAACGTCCTTCTGACAGTGACAAATCAGCAGAGAATGGTAGCAGCAGGCTATGGGAATCATTGTGCCCCTTTCTAAAAACATACAAAACATCTGGTCTTGGCAGGTGAGCCTAGAAATAACAGAGGAACAACATGCAAGGATTCCCTCAGTGTCTAAATGCTGTGGTACAGGGGTCACTAGAAATGTGGCAGATAAAGCAAAAGATGACGAGAGCAAATCAGGAGGGTGAATACAATAAATGTGTGTCTGTGACTTTGGAGAAGAAAGCAAATGCTTCAGATTCTTCATATCAAAACCAGGGTTAACGGAGATCTAATAGTAGAGAGAGAGGTTGCTGTGGTTTGAAAGACCAGCAATTTTTTCCTGATTGTTATCATCCTGCCCTATCCTCGAGTCCTTTACCAGGCACACTTTCACCAGAATCTGTGGGTGTTCACCTGTCTAAGGCCTGAGTAAGAACAAAGAAAGTGTCTCAGGACTTGGTTCATGATTCATGGGTTGTAGAGAATTCCCACCAGCCCTGTCCTTCCTTCTCCCAAGGTTTGCTTGTCTGCTCACTTCTCCTGCCTCTCTTCCCCTGCACTCATTCCCCTGACGTGAGGTAAAACACCTAATTCAGCTTCAAGGAGAAAAGTGCTTAGAACATAACAAGATGAACTCCAGAGGTCCCTTCCAACCTCAGCCATTCTGCAATTCTGTGATAACTAAAGTGATCAGAGGCTTCACTTTCTGAAAAAAATAGTTTCCTCTTGTCCCTGTATCCCTTATTGCCTTTACCCCCTGATCTCTGTTACCCTTAGGCTGTCATGTCCTGGCTGTGCTGAATGGGTCCCTCTCTTCTTCCAGTGCAATGCCACAGGTGGGAATTGCTTCTACAAGACCTATTCATCTGGGATGGATGCAATTCTTGAATGGTACAGGTTTCACTACATGAATATCATGTCCCAGCTACCAGTTATAATCAACATTTCTGATCATGAGGAGCAAATAGAAGATATGGTCTACTCCTGTCAGTATGATGGGGAGCCCTGCAGACCCAGGTGTGTTACTTCTGATGACACGGAGCTGTGTGAGGTGGGGACATGCTGAGGGAAGGGATGGCATCCAGAGGGACCTGGGCAGGCTGGAGAGGGGGGACATGCAAACCTCAGGGAGTGCAACAAGGCCAAGGGCAAGGTCCTGCCCGTGGGTCGGGGCAATCCCCAGCACAAACCCCGGCTGGGCGAGGAGTGGCTGGAGAGCAGCCCTGAGGAGAAGAACTTGGGGGTGTCAGGGGGTGGAAAACTGACAGTGAGCCAGCAACGTGCCCTCGCAGCCCAGAAAGGCCCCCGTGTGCTGGGCTGCACCCAGAGCAGGGTGGGCAGCAGGGCCAGGGGGGGATTCTCTCCCTTTGGGGCCCCCAACATCAGGACAGGGACCTGCTCGAGTGGGGCCAGAGGAGTCCACGAAGATGCTCGGGGGGCTGGAGCACCCCCTGTGAGGACAGGCTGAGAGAGCTGGGGGGTTCAGCTGGAGAAGAGAAGGCTCCGGGGAGACCTTAGAGCGGCCCCCCAGGGCTGAAAGGGGCTGCAGGAAAGGGGGGAGGGACTCGTCATCAGGGTGGTAGGGAGAGGATGAGGCATAACAGTTTTAAACTGACAGAGGGGAGATTTAGATTAGCTATGAGGAAGAAATTCTTCCCTGTGAGGGGGGTGAGGCCCTGGCACAGGTTTCCCAGAGAAGCTGTGGCTGCCCCCTCCCTGGAAGGGTTCAAGGCCAGGTTGGACGGGGCTTTGGGCAGCCTGGGCTGGTGGAAGGTGGCCCTGCCCGGGGCAGGGGGTTGGAACTAGATGGTCGTTAAGGTGCCTTCCAACCCAAACCATTCCATTATTCTATAATATGATTTTCGAGGCATTAATTGTGATTTCAGCAGAACCCAAGGACTTGGGAAATTGAAACTGAGCCTACACTCGCAGGCAGTGCAGGCACTGCACCTCATGGCATACTGCCAGGCTTAGCCCTGGTTGACTGAAAGTAAGAACAGTCTTTCATGATCAGAGTATGAGGCTAGGAACCCAGAAATCAGCATTCTGCTATGACTGGCCTCTATGGTGGCGAGTTGGTGTCTTAGGGTGTTCAAGGAAGCCTAAATTAAACCTTCATTGGTACAAAGATGCGTTGACTGTATTGGATGGCAAATGGTGAATGTCCACCTGCATGGGAGGAAAGGAGCAGCAATCCCCAGATACCCGATGGGTAAAAGTGGGATCTCTTTTTGCTGTAACAATGAAAAGGAGGGAGAGAAGTGGAAGAAAGCTCTCACGACCCTACTGTAGCACTTGGCCCCTGAGCACTGTTCTCAACTATTACACCATGAGAACTCAGTTAATACCAAAAGGGTCAGATGGTCTTTTTGCATCCTTTTGTCCCTAGAGGCTGCACATACCAAAGGCAAAGGTGTACCTTCTTTTTCCTGCATGCCTGCGGTCTTCCCTGTTGGAATCTCTTCCAAATACAACTGACATACACCACCCAAAGCAATGCTGTGCCTCAGGCACACGAGCCATTCGCTGGCCTACTTGTTTCAGCTGATGACTCGGAACAAATTTAACAGCAATGCACTCATCTATGACACGGAACAAGCAGAAGGCAAATTTAAATATTTTTCTGAGCACTTCCAGCAAAGAGGAGAGGGGTCCACAAAGCCTGTTGTAGATCATTTTGCAAGACAAGGTCCTGGTTTATCTTTCCTGGACACAACTGACTCTCACACTCCTCTGTACTTAGTGTTTCTGATGCTTTCATGTAATATATCTCCCTCTGTGCACCTGATGGTGAGCACTGTCACTTTGGTGCGCGTGTTCACCCGACTCTCCGTAACTCCCAGAATAGCTGGTGGAATGTGGAGGCTGACTTTGGCCAGGGAAATTCAGCGTGAGCAGAAGTGGTACAATTTTTAAGAAAGCAAGGAAAGAGAATCTATTTGTCCTGTTGATTAGAGCACAGAACTTCAACCTGCCTGGTTCTTACAAAAGGAGGGGAAAATTTAGCCTCCTTGGTGGGAGGAAAAGCAAGTTTGACTCCTGTGGTTGCTGCTCTGACTGTAACCTTGGGTGAGCAATGAATCCCTGTGCACCTGACTTCTTTTCCTTGTCTCCAGTGAGTTAACAACTCTTTCCCACAGGCACTCCTGTGCATACACAGACACACACACACACACACAAAACACAACCTACATAGAGGCAAAGGTGTTGCTACGCTCGTAATTAAATCCCATCAAAATCTCTCTTGATTTCAGTGACTATGTTCACTTTCACCACCCAGTCTTTGGAAGCTGCTATACTTTTAACAGCAAGGGAACAGACTCTTTTTGGACAGCTACAAAACCAGGAATTCCTTACGGTATGTTACAGTATTTGGCAAAGGGTGGGAAGAAGAGCTAAAGTTAATATAATTTGGCTATGGGTTAAATGTCTTCTATATCCCTCTCTTCTAGTGTGGTGGCACAAATTATTTTCTTGCTTCGCTAGCCACATGTATATGATAGCCATATCAGCCATATCTTATAGCAAGTAGAACGTATTTTAGTTGTCAAGCAGAATATTATTCCAGCTTTGGAATAGGCTGGTGCAGTTGCTACCTGAGCACTCACCAAGTCTCCAAGGAAAAAGAACGGCTCTTCTGTGAGCTAAGACAGCAATTTGATCAGTGCTGAGAATCCAAGAGGTAGTGGTGGTCCTATTTGGGCCCAAATAGGTTGTTATGTGCTTCCCTTTTCCTTGGTTTACAGGACTTTCCCTTATCCTGAGAGCAGAGCAGAAGGATCACATCCCACTCTTGTCTACAGTAGCAGGTGTGAAAGTGATGATACACAACCACAACCAGACACCATTCCTTGAGCACGAAGGCTTTGACATCAGACCAGGCATTGCAACTACCATAGGCATTCAGCAGGTCAGCCCCTGGCTCGAAGGGTGTTTCTTTTCCTTCTGATTGCAGGAGGTTGTGAGGAGCTGAACGCTCTGACTCCTCCAACGGGCCTGTGGGACCTTTGTGTTTGTTCCTTGACTGTGCATGTATATTTACGCAGCCCCTTTTTCTCTCTTCACTGTGCTCAGCTTCCCGTGGGTTAAACAAAGTCCTTCCAACTGTACAAGTGGCCTTTTGGTCCTCGATACACTGACTTGTTTTACGCTGAGGCTCTTACACCTCCTACGTATCATTCCAGCCCTACACAGGGGGCTGCATGTGTATATTAGGATGAGAACAATTCAGAATTGATTTAGTTATTTTGAAGGATGAGTTACTGCTCGTCAGCTGAGCCATGGTGACTGACCACGTGCACTCTCCTACCTTTGCCCTGTCACTCTATATGTTTTATTTAGCGAGGTAGAGCTGGGCTGCTAACATTACTACACTTCCTGTCCTTTATATGATGCTCCATCCAGTTAAGTTCAGAGGGTGATGGCTAGGTCCAATTAAAGCTCCTAATCACTCAGGCCTCTTTTCTGTGTCCACAGGACGAGGTGAATCGCCTGGGTGGCAATTATGGGAAATGCACAACTAATGGCGATGATGTGAATGTTAAACTCCTGTACAACAACTCCTACACCCTGCAGGTACTGTCAGAGTGGCTGGCTGAGGCCCCAGCTTATTCAGAGTGGATGAACAGCAAACAAGTCATACCTTACTCTCCAGAGAGCTTTTACGGATCAGCAGGTTCATTGCTGGAGATAACAGAGAGATTCATGCCCCTCTGAAAAGCAGCTCACAAACAGGGTGTTATACTGAGTGAGAGTTACTCAGTCCCAGACCCTGGGGCTCTTCCCACCCTCCAACACAAGAGGGAAGAGACAGGGAACCAGTCGAGGCAGCTGGACTGTTCTAGTAGGATATTCTCAAGCCATCAGATGTTTATTTGTGTAAATAGCTGCTCCTGGCTCTAGACATTTGGGCTGTTTAACTGAGATGTTACTGGGCATAATGAAAAAGGGAGCTGGGGGAAATTCTGTCTCACTGACTTCAATACTGTTTTCAGATGTGAAGACAAGGAATGAAAAGCAAAAAACCTTTTTCATCATCATGCTCTAGTAATGGCTGGTGTCTCTTTGCCGCCACAAAAATCTGCACGTTGTCTCCTAGCAGCTGCATGATACAGACTGAAAATTTGAGCGCTTGAGAATTTCTGTTTTACCCACTCTTTTATGTCTCCTTTACTTGCCAGGCTTGTTTGCATTCCTGCTTTCAGCACATAATGGTTCGAAAATGTGGCTGTGGATATTACTATTACCCACTGCCTCCCGGTGCTGAATACTGTGACTACAACAAGCAGCCCGCATGGGGTAAGAGGGAAAACCAGCTCTGTCCTTGCTGGAAGGGAACACCTGCCTACAATAGTCACTGCCTACTGACTCCTTAGGCTGCTTCCCTTGTCCTTTGTGCCTATTTCCTGTTTTATTTCCTCACCTCATGTCTGAATCCAAGCAGGTGGCAGACACCTTTCTGTGTATTTGCGTGGATGTCAAGTTAGTGCATAAAAAAAAAAAATCTTGATGCTATCAAGCATCCCTTTATAAGGACGTTAATATAGGGTCAAGCTCTTTCTTGTTACCAATATTGGGGGCTGTACCGGTGTGAGACAAAGCTTTGAAGATCTTCTCTTGGTTTTCTGGTTGGCCTATCCTCAGCAGATCCTTACAGAGAAGGCACCTGCACTGCACACAGGGGATTAGCTCAGCCATCTGGAACCGTTCCGGAGTGAGAGTGAGACAGGACCGGGGCTCTCTGAGAGAGTGCTGGATGCTTGGGAAGCGAGGGCAGAGGTTTTGGTAGCCTTCCATTTCCTGAGGAAGCATCTGAGTGTGTTCCTCTCATTTCTTTCACCAGGTCACTGCTTTTACCAGCTGTACAACAGGCTCAGAAATCATCACCTGAATTGTTTTGACCAGTGCCCTAAGCCTTGCCGGTAGGTCACCAAAGCAGAGCACAATAAATGCCAAATGACACCAGTGGAACTGCAGGCAACCTAGTGGGAAATTTATGGACCAATTGGCCATCTGAATTTTGGCATTCTCTGAACCAGAGGTTTCAGTTTGATGTTTGAACCCCAGCGCTGAGGAAGGAAAAAGATAACAGCGCTGGGCAAATTAAATGAAATTAAATTAAAAAAGAACTCTGTGTGTGCATGAGAGCAGAGAGGGGAAATTCTTTTAATCCCACTGAAATGTTTTATTAAGGTCATCAAAATTGTGTCATTTTTTTCAGTCTGTGTTACTTTTCTTAGTTCTGCTTTTTTTTTATAATAGGTCGATTTCTAAATGGAAAGACATCATTTTAAAGCGAAATATCAAATATTTTGGTTGGCGATGCGTCAGAGACAACCTGTCGGGATCTTTAAGCCACTCTAGTTTTCCTCCTGACCTGAACAGTTTTCAGGCAACCTCTGCTTTTATTTTCTAAGCTGAATTACAAACCTTTTCCCAAGGTTTTCAAGAGCTGCCCCCAGACCGTCTGCTTCGGGCATTGTTAAACTCCTTTGTGTATTCACTTTTAAACACCGAGAGTCATCGTGATCATAATCTCTGTTTTTATCTTACCAGGGAATCCCTGTACAAGGTGTCTGCTGGGACAGCTAAATGGCCATCGGCAAAGTCTCAGGTAGTCCATGCAGAAACTGCTCTGTTTAGAGAGGATACTCTATTTACTGTAGCTGTTGGAGCATTAAAGGTGAAAACACTGACTCAGGCAGCAGCAATGGAAATGGCAAATAAAGCAAACTAGTCCAAAACCAGGGCCCAAGGGAATGACCCTGTAGTTAAGATGCCAGACTAAGATGGGAGAGAGGTACATCCGATTCCAGTTGTAACCCAAACTTCCTTGTGACCTTAAGCCATTCACCTCACTGCCTTAGTTCCCACCTACAAAATGGTGTTAATGACTTTCTGCTTCCAGTGGGTGTTGTGGTGTAACGACTCACTTATTACTGTTTGTGAGGTGCTGCAGGGCTGCGATGGAAACTCTGTGAGTCAGTAGGTGACCTCTTGCCATTTCTCATCTTCTCAGGTTAAATGGGCATTCAGGCTGTATGCCCAGCGAGTTAATTCGTGTGAAATAAGTGATAATGTAGATGTAAATGCAACCAGTACATTTTAAAAGAGGAAATTATTTGGTGGGATTGCCATTAAAGGCAGAATTTAGGAACCAGAATACTATACACGCCTAAAATACCAGTGTGGATTTCCTTTCTATTCTGGCAAACACAGCTACTACTCGATAGCTTTCACTATATGTTATAAACCAATCAATTACATCCTTATTACTCGCCATAGCCATTTTATTGCTCATGAAATCTACATTTGCAAAATATTAAACATACAAAAACTCAGCAGACAGGATTGCCGATAACATACATGTACTCTGCTGCAGGACTGGATCCGCCAGGCTCTAAGGCATCAGAACGGGTACAACTCTACCAGCAACAGGTCAGTCACTGCGAGGAGGTACCCCTCTTAAAACTATGGCTTAACTCTTCACCCTTGCAGAGTTTGTAAAAGTTAGGCTGGAAAGGGAGGACAAGAGAAAAACGTAGCGTCACCCCATAAATTTCCCCTCTTCCTTCACAACACTGTGAAACAGTCACTTCTGAACCCTTTTCCCAAGCTCGTGTTAAACCCCCTCAGGAAGAAAGCTTGAGTGAGTGGTGAAACCTATTGCCTAGCAATCAGCGTGTAAAACCACGACCAGAATGCCAGCAGTACCTTCCGCCAGGTGAATGCCATGTGGGCATCCCACCGTTGCTAACGGCTCCCTTTCTCCACTGCAGGAAGGATATCGCCAAGGTGACTATCTTCTACCAGCAACTCAACTACCAGTCTGTGAACGAGTCTCCTTTACTCTCAGTAGGTTGCACTACATCAGCTCAAAACATTGCTGCAGGTCATTAGTTAAGGGGTGCTGCGTACGGGGGGAGGGAGGGTTATTTACAGCCCCCAAGATGGGGTGGGATTATTCCTCTTAAAGAAGACACCTGAAAAATTTCACATTTTACACAGTCACACGAAATTAATCCCCAAGTGGCAAAGAGCTCACTGACCTGCGGGCCATAGGCAATAACTTTGTGTTCCCAGAGCTCTGCTGTGTTTGATAAACACAACCCTTTGATTCTTTCCGCAGGAGAATCTGCTTCTGTCCAGCATGGGAAGCCAGTGGAGTCTCTGGTTTGGATCCTCAGTGCTGTCTGTGGTTGAAATGTTTGAGCTGCTCGTAGATACACTGGTCCTGTCTCTCCTCTTCTGCTACCAAAGGTTCAGGTCAAAGAAGACGTTGAAAGTAGCTCACACTCCTACCATCCCCAGCGTGAGCTTGACCCTAGAAAACTACCGAGTTGTGCAAGAAGAAGCTGGAAGAGGTGATGATTCTGCTCATACTCCCCCTTCTGGGGTGACTATTGCCATGGGCAACAACAGTGACCTGCATCTTCACCCACTCTCCAGCAAGGTGGAAATGCCAGAGCTTTGCCCAGATGTGGTGCTTAATGGGTTTCGATACACGAAGGACAGCTCTGTGGAAGGGGAACTGAAAGGGTAGGACGTGTCCGTGTGCACAGAGAAACGGGGCTCTTGAAACTCCCTGAACGCTCAGAAAGGTTGCAGACAGAAACGTTCTGGATCCACCATCTGCGAGCACCACACTGCTGAGCTCAGCAATCCTCCTCCAGCTATTACAAGTTCATTGTTAAACCATCCACGTGTCCTGGATTCGGGCATCATGCAACGTTCTTTTTGTTCCGAATGAGTATCTGGGGAGGGGAGAACTGTACTCCTGCTCTCTGGGACCGCGGTCGAGTCCTCATAAAAGCCTGTTCGTAGCTTTTAACTTTTAAACCCCTGTGAGGAAATCAGCCTGTGGCTTCAGACGGGCCCGTCTACATTTCACAGACGTACCGGAGAGAAAAGTCAGCCCGGCGGTGGTGGGGCTGAGCGTGTGGCCCTGCCGGGCACTGCTGCCTTGAGGGTGACAGAGCTGGGGGTGACAGGCGGTGGCCCTGGTCACAGCTTTGCTTCCCGGGCCCCTCTGTCCTTCACCTGGGACTGATGCGTTGTGAGGACAACGCGCAGAATGCTGCTGCTGAGATGCTTTTAGACTTAACCCAGATGATTTCAAATGAGATTTACCATCTTAGAGGAAAGAGAAGATAATGGGGTGGATCTTTTTTTTTTTTTTATGTCACAGACGAAGCATCTGATTTATTTAGAAGATTAAACCAATGCTGCGTTTTTGTTGCAGTCCGTTTATAAATAGAGAGGTTTTTAATGTTAATATTTGACAGTAACTTATGTGTACATAAAAATAACACTTTTATTTTTGATGATGATGTTTGCACAGGAGCATTTTACTCTGTTATAATCTTGTTTATGGCTCTGTAGAAAACAAGAGTTAACAAGAAACCAGTGAGCTTTGTTTTGTAACTTTTTTAAATAATAAAATGCTCTGAAGACAGACCGTGACTGGGGGTTTAGTTTTTGCCTTCAACTGATACTTGGGTTTGTTACCGCCTAATTGTGACTGCTAAGTGTTGGCTCTGGAAAGGTCCTTTTCAATGTCCAGACCTTACTTGCAGAAGCCCAAATGCATAGGGACAAACCAGAAAAAGAGTTTTGGTTCCAGACGTGGAGGTGGGATCCTCATAGCCTTCAGTTCGCTGCTGACGCCACTGGAAGCCAAGCACCAAGGCGCATTCGAAAAACCTCATTTTTTTGCTTGATGTAGTTGATTTATTTATTTATTTATTTTAATTCACAAGGAAAATCTACAGAGATGTAGACTAAACCCAAATGAATTGTTCTGTAATACACCAGCCAAGTCACGGCGAATAGGACCACGGGGGCTCCATTGCAGTGGGTGATTCAGCCTTTTCTCTGCATCTTCTGCCCTGGGAAATACAGCTGCTTTGCTCTGACAAGAGAGATTTTACACAATGCTGTAATCCAAGTGACTGTTGAGAAAGGATACCATGAAGAAAAAAATAACTCTAGGGACGAGAAAGAGAGAAAAGGAATCCAACTCCAAAGCAGAACACCTGGGCATGCCCTGGGAATGCAAAACTCAAGTGGATGCTACACTAAGTCTTTCCTGAAAGATTACAATGCCTCAGGTACACACAGAGCTCTGTGTGTGCATACCCACACACTTCCCTTCAAAAGAAAGCCCCTCTCAGAACGCCCGGACTGGTTACCACTGGGATTAACTGGGAAGGCTAAATGTTGGCTAGCAGGGAATTGTTGAAAGAAACTTTACGCTGGTCGCAATAGACCAAAAAAAAAAAAAAAACAAAAAAAAAAAAAAAAAGCTGCAGAATTCTACATCATGTAACATAACTTCAGGAGGAGGCAGTTTTGGGACGGAGGAGTGCAGGACCAAGCATCGAGTGGGAATGTCTTGTCTCGTGGTCACATTTGGAACAGGAGGGATGTGGCAATACGGGACAGGGATGTGTTAGCAGGGGTGTGTGCTTCAGTTTACACACGTGCAGACCCAGAAGATCAAGGGGTGTTGCAAGGCAGGAGGGAGATGCCTTGGCAGCACAGCCTGCGAGTGGGCAGGGAGCGTCTGTTGGGAGTGCGGAGACGTAAGAATGGAAGAGGAAAAGGGTGTGGGATTCACTGTGGGAGAGGGACATGGGGAAAATTTGCTTCACACCTGCTTGTGCCACCTTTAGCAGAAAAAAAAAAAATGGTTTCTAAGCTAGTGGAAGCGTAAGTGATAGCTATCCAGCTTGAAGGTAGCTCAGAGCAGGCTTCTCTGAGGGTGTGGACTAATTTTTAGCTTCGTAGTTATGTCTGTATTACAGAACATTCCCGTAGCCTGCTCTAGTTGAGAAATCGGCCATTAAAATTCTTCATTAGGGTTATACCTTAGCACTTGTGATAGCATCACGGAAATACCTGTCCTATTTGGAGGGCCTAAGCTGTGCATTTCCAGTGTGGAGCAAAAAAATTGAGGCGAAAATGGGAGATCCTCCGAATCACACAGCAATGCCATAGAGGAGTATAAACCCGGTGTGCCAGCTCCCTGCTCTGGCTGCCAGGCTGATGTTCTTCCCTGATGGAAAGCTTCTGTGATAGCTGTCACTCTCACAGAAATTAAAGCTAAGCAGTAGGAAATCATAAAAAAAAAAATAAATCACAGGCTGGTTTGGGTTGGAAGGGACCTTAGAGATCCTCTAGTCCCAACCCCCTGCCATGGGCAGGAGCAGGTTGTTTCAGGTGCCTTTCCTGCTGGAAGCCACATGGCAAGCTCTCCTGCCAACATGGCCAGTGGCTTCCAGCGGTCCAAGAGGCAGCCGCCTTCCTGCAAGCCCATCACCTGACCCACTGCCCCGCCAAGGCAGGGGAGCCCAGCTCCCGCTCCGAGGGCACGGCCCACCGGGCAGCTCCACCACCACGCCGGGCATCTCTCCCTGCGTCCCCGCTCAGGGGCGTGTTTGGAGGCTTTGTCTCACAGGAGAAGCAGCTTGTCAGAAGGGCTGAGATGTCTACTAAGCTGCCACGTTGCTAGTGTGATTTAATTAATAGCATCAATGAAATTAGAGCACGTCTTAATCAGATAAACCAGAAGGGCTACCAAGAGAGTTAGAATCTTGTGTCTCTTTGGAGAAAAATTCATTTCGCTTCCTCTTTTCAAGCCATAAACCAGATAAATTTCGTATTTTAAACCTTCTCATAGTGAAGCGCTTCACTGACTTGTAAAGATCTAGAATCGGAAAGAATGAGTAAATGTGTGCGAAATTTAAAAACAAAAAAAAATATTCCTGTCTTTATTCTCAGTTCGTAGATAATGTTTGCACGTGAGATATATTTTTTTTCACTCCCACCTTTTCAAAAAAAAAAACAACAAACACTTCTTCTGCCATCAGATATATTACATTTCAGCATGTCATACTTTATCTAGATTGTTCTGACAATGCACTTTATTATGTCATGGTGCCTATACCTGTATAGTCCACGCATAACCTTTTCTTATTTTTTGTTAACTACGACAATACAATCCTAAAAACTTACAAAAACAACACTGAAAGCTGTGCCTTACGGAAGAGTGCAACTCTCCTGACAGCGAGATGCACAACCAGTAGGAGATGGAGAGCCCCTGAGGGAAAGAGCGAGAGTCTGGGTTTGGTGCTGCGTGTAAAGTCTCCGTGGAATTGGAATTATACCTCCTGCTCCGTGTCAAACCCAACATCCCAAAGCACTCAGTGGTAGAGGTATCCGAAGGGGTGAGTTACACCACAAAACAAAGTATTTTGCCCAGGGCTCTGTGGTGGACTGGTTGGGCCTGGGCGCCCCACGTCTTTAGTCGGGTGCTGTGTCCTGGGCAGCCTTTCTGCTCGGGGAGGAGGGGAGGGCTGCGAGCGCAGGGCCTCCTGCCACTGGGAATTGCATCCCGGCGCCCTTGTGGGAAGCTGGGAATTCCTCCGGGCACGGCTGGTGGCCGGTGCTGGCTCTCACCCAGCTGAGCCGTCTGGGTCCAGTGACACTGCCACGAAGCAGCGTAACTCAATTCTGCAACATTTCCCTTTTCCTCAGCTTTTGGAGCCCCTCAGACTTGGTCTCCTCCTGGCACGCTCAGTGGTCGGCACCACTTACCTGTATTTCATTTTAGGGGCGGGCACTGCTGCAGTATCACAAATCCTGGGGTCTGCATACACCCAGAAAGGGGAGATTTCCCCAGAAACAGCCATGTAGAAATGGCTTTGAGAGCTAAAAGATCGGCTTAACTCATTTTAAACTCCATCCAGCTACCTCAGCCTACAGCCTGAGTGCGTACCAATTCCAGAATTACCCCCGGGAGGTCTGTCACCTTCCTGGTCCGGGCTCAAAAGCAGACACCAGGGGAAAAAAAAACCAAACAACCAACCCACAGGTTTCTAGTAGAAGCAATGTGAACAGAGAACGTCTTTCCTCGGTAGCTGAGCTCAGCTTGCCTCTTACACCTGCTCAGACGTTTCTGCCCTCCTGGGGAGCTCAGGCAGCTCTAAGCTCGACCTTCCAGCAGAAGGTCTTGGCAGAGGGAGGGAGGGAGGGGGCTATCTGCAGGAGTGGCTGAAATGCAGGCTCCTCCTTTTGAGTTTCTCAGGGTTGTTCGAAGCCATGTGAGAGAACTCCCGGAAGATGTCCAGGTAGGTGGCATCTCCTGCAAAAATACACAGGAAGAGGCATTAGTCCCCATATTTTGCCTTTGCTTTGCTTTGATACTTCCCCCCCATGGAGATGACGGTCCATCAGGCCATTTTCACTTGGAACTCATGACTTTTCATCTGGGTGTAAGAAACAGCTCTAGATACAGAGACAGAGCCCAGCTCATTTGCCTTTGCACTGTCTCAGAGGGTTCTGGTTTGGCTTTCCATCCTTTTTGTTAATAAGAACAGGATTATTCACGAGCTTGCATATGCAAACGTGCTCTCAGAACTCTTGCTTCACAATCAGATTTAGGATAATTCCTCCCTTTCAATATTATCGGTACTTTTTTTTTTTTTTTCCCAAAGCCCAAGAGACAGTAGAGAGACATTTTAAGACTTCAAGTAGAGCACTATTCTGGAAGCTGAGTGCTCTGAAGTGCAAAGGCCTTTCGTTGTGCCACTTGTGCAAGAGCAGAGCTTCATGCAGGCGGGAACACAGGGCTTGAGATTAGTTTGCGTTCAGCCAGGAACAGAAATAAAGTCGTTTACTAGTTGTCTGGCTTCTCTTCTGGCCGCCAGACTTTTCAGAGCTTGTTGCGGCAGGTAGAACATGACTGGAACAGAACAACAACCTGTTGAAGGGCACTATCAGATCACAACAATTCTCCATGACAACTGACTCAAGGTCCCGTTCAAACCACAGGTGAAGGCAAAGAGTTCAGGTGCCCCAGCGGTGGCTCTGTGATAGACGCAGGAATGGTTTCAGATTTATGCTGCAATTCCAGAGATAATTAGGCACCTGCATCCCATTAATGATATCTCTGCTTGTATGTTTGCTGCTTGATGTTCTAGGGCAATTTTTTTTTTGCCACGGACTGGGCTACTGAGCTCATTTTTACCTGATGATGAACCCATGTAGCCAGAGGGTAAAAAGATAAGTGAAAGATTCCCAGGTATTCACCTACACAAGTACAGTTCTGTCATACAGAGCTCCTGTGCCCTTCGTTTGACAGGAGACGTGTCCTGGGGAGTCACTGAGAGGGTAGAGCCACAGCTGCTGTGAGCTGCGTGGCTCCAGGCACATCACCCGTCAATACTGGTGCAGTGCTGAGAGAAAAGGGAATAAAAAAAAATGAGTTCCACAAAGCCAAGTCGATAGCAGGATCCAGTGTAACTTCCCATTGCTTCACAAACTGGGCTGGAGAGAAGGTCTGAGAGCGTCTGTCGGGCTGCGAGTGGACAGAGAGGACTGGCAGCTTGTCCTCACCCTCGCGGCAGTGCTCCCTACCCTGCAGGCATCCTCCAAGACACATTCCTCCAGCTGCTCCTCTTGAGGCAAGCTGGCAGGACAGGTCCCTCTGTGAGCGTGGTGCCCCCTTCCAGCCCAGCTCCCGGGTGAGTACGCTGGGATGTCAGAATTGTCTCTTTTCAGTAGACCAAGAGCGTCCAGCCCAAAAGGTCTTGAGAATATTTAAATAGTCTTCTGCATTATCCACATGCAGGTGGCAAAGGGTTATAACGTGAGCCTTATCGTCAGGCAGGCTTTGACCAGGATCTGTTGATTTTCAGGCACAGCAATGCTCAGGAGATGGATGTTCTGTGCCTGGCACAAAACCAACTCGACCCACCTGCTAGTTTCTGGTTACAGACACTTGAGCCCTTCCTTCACGGGTGGGACTCGGCCTGTTTCCACTGCCCCCACCAGTGCTGCCCTGTGCACACAAACATATCCCTGTGAGACCACTGTCCCCTCCCACCCTCCTAGCATTTCCACCTGCTCCCCCACCATGTATTCCTCTCCACCTTCCCTCCATGCAATATAGTCCCTTTCAGGGAGAAGCAAAAAAAAAAAAAAAAAAAAAAAAAAAAAAAAAAAAAAAAAAAAAAAAAAAAATTAATCCTCACACACTAGCTAGAAAACAGGCAGCTGTTCTATGAGCACAATAAAGACTCATCTCGGGGTGTTTCTAGAATGAGTCTGCTGTTGAATTGTTAAGCTTACCTGGCAGCAACAGGTAAGTGCGTGCTGACCTAGCTGAGTCCCGGTGCAGAGACCAGGTAACAGCCACTGCTTCGCCTCTTTGATCCTGACTTGGCGTTGACACCGGCGGGATGGTGTCAAAGTGGCACTTTTAGACAGTGGGACAGAGAATTGCTCTTACCCCCCCCTGCCAGTAGCCCGACCACGTTGGTAAAATCAGGAATTTTGTTCAGCAAGATGACTAATCCTCCTGCATCCTGGTGAAATCTCTTCTGGCAACACTCAGATATAACCACAATTACAAGAATCCTGTTGTAGTAAAGCATTAGTCCCACATTTTTGCAGATATTTAAGCCTTTAATCCTCATCAACTGAAGAAGACGACAAGTCTTTTGGAAATCTGGTTTTCTATAATTGCATATCGGTCTTCAGTGCATTTATCCTTGTGAGGTTGGGCGAGACCACGGTCTCCATTTTAGACTGCAAATAGAAACGTAGTTAAATAAAGGGGCGGCAGCAGGACTCAGGGTTGGGACCAAGCCATGTGTCTCCCAAGCTCTGTGCTTCTAAATTTACCGTGAGCCCATGCAGCTCTCCTTCTGTAAATGCTGTCAACGCCTGTAACACTCCTGATTTCAACACAACCTTCCTATTGAGCTCCTTCACTGCGTTCACAACCCTACCCAGATTGATTCATTTGGATCTGTTTGTCCCACCAGGGCAAACCAGAGGTGATTCCACAATTTTTCTGCATTTGCTTTCGATGCTAAAGTGTGATAGAAATCATGAGGCCAGGCCGGTCTTTCTTTTCTTCTTTTATTTTTCTGCCACAGACACACAGTATGAGAGAAACCAAGGATGGGGGGGGGGGAAGGATTGCACTGTGATGTGTGGGAAAGGGTAGTCCATGTGCAGAAGACTGGTATTTTAATCTAGTGCAAGGTCTCCTTTTACAGGATAGCCATCAGCAGAGCCTGTAACATACCAAGCATTAACTGATTCAGGTACTCTGAAGAAACATGAATGGGTGCGACCTGAGCCTGTCACCTTTACCCCAGCCTTCTTCCAAAGCACCCTGAAATCACATTATCACAAGTGTCACAGAAACCCAAACGAAAATGCAGAGTATTTACGTGGCATTCCAGTCTATTCGCTGCCCTAAAATTCAAGCCGTGGGTTGCAGAGAAGGAAAAACAGGTTAAAAGGGGAGGGTTTTCCAGATCCAGTTAATACAGGCAACAAGGCAAGAAACCGTACATGAATAAATCAAGCCAAAGAAGGAGGAAGGAAGGAGTTTATCTAGATTTTTATTAACAGTGTTTCAAGAGACAATAGAAGAGAAGGGAGGGGGGGGAAAAAAAGGCAGACACCACAGCAACAGTTTTAAAATTGTACAAAGATAATTAACATACAGAATATCTGGTTCCATAGTTACAGTCAGTACAGGGAAAAGGGGGAATTAAAAAACGTGTTACAAAGTTGTACTGAAAGCAGGCAAGTGAGGGAGGTTAATAGGTTATAGCGTATTTACAGCAAGCGTCAGCCCCCGGCACAGCAGCCCAGCCCTTCCGTGTGGAGCGGAGCCGTGGTCGCCAACCACGCTTAGCAGCTCGGATTTGGCTAAAGAACTTCTTTCTCTCTGTGCTGTTTGGATAGGAAGGTGCAGGAGCCTGAGCCACGAAGAGCTGGGCTGTCTCACCCCAAGGCTTTCACTCCAGGCTGCCAGCCCGGGTAACCCTACAGCACGAGAGGATTTGCTTTAATTCTGGGGTTCAGCAGTCGCAGGCCTGACGTAGGGGGCTCCCAGGCTGGGGGATCCACGCTGCCATCGGCGTGTTGCGAGAGGGACGGGGATGGAAGCCACCTGAGACAGGGCTACAAAGCCACGGGCAACCTGACAGCAAGCACCCGGCCGCGCACCCGTGGGAGCACCGGGACGTACGACGGGCTCCGTCAGGGCCCTGGCTGCCGGGAAGGGGCGAGGTGCTGAGATGCCTTCGCGGAGCAAATGCTCCAGCTTCAGCGAGCCTCTCTAACCATCCCAACTGCTGCACCAGAAACACACACCGTCCTCGTCGTGCCTTGGGAACTCTCTCTGCTCCTACCCCCACCTCTGTCCCCGATTCCCCCCGTAACTATTCAGCTGCCCTGCGGTGCCACTAACACAGCTCAGAAGGGATGGACACCCCAAATCCCCTACAAGGCTGAGGAACCAGCAGGCAGACTGATATGAATCACATTCCTATGGAAACAGCACTCTATATTTCAGAATCTAAAAAAAAAAAAAAAAAAAAAAAAAAAAAAAAAAAAAAATCTTGTTTCTTCCAAACTCCCACTCTCCCTTCTCCTGCTGGGTCACTTCTTCCCCACGCCCCCTTCTCCATAAAACAGCAGCACCCACTCTCACACACACACACGCACGCTCACGCAGGCGTTTGTCATCAGCGGTTTAATATCACGTTTAATCTGTTCATCCTGGTTTGTCTTTGGTTGAAAGCAATAATGCTCGGGCAGTGAGGAGAGAGACGCGGGCTCAGGGGCAGCGGAGCAGCCCGGCACACCGCAGTAGTTCAGCACTAGGCAGCTGTGTTGCAGCCACTGGACAGTGAGTTAATCAGTGCATTTCTTTAGGAGGTCCTGTTTGGTTTTTTTTTTCTTGCATAAATAATGGCCATTTTTCTGGTCTGAGATGTTACTGATCTATTTTATGCTGGTCCCGCTCTCAGCTTGTCAAATCTTTTTCTTTAGACATAAATTCTTCCGACCCCGTGTCTTTCCTCTAGACTGCCCAAAGAAATTTCACGTTGCAGAGACCATCTCGGAGACAATATTAAAATAACCTGAGGCCTCCCTGGATGACACGTGTAGAGGGAACACCGAGGATATCATTTCAACTTGCCAGCAACCTGAACTCATCCCATTTGGAATCAGAAACACGTGGCAGACCCCAAAGATTCAAAACCTAGACTACCCGTCCAGGCACTTGGTTACAGGGTTTGGGTTGAATCAAACAAAAAAGCTAGGACAGGTATATAAATATTTACCCAGATCTCAACAACTCAAAAGATGGCAGAATCTGCGTGGCTGAGGCAACGGTTCGTGTCCGTTTGTGTTTTGACAATGCCTGGCATGTTGCTTTCTAGACAAAGGCAAATCTCCTCATGTCAACTGTGGTTGCAAGCAAGTTACTGTCACATAGATAACACACGCACTCTTTTAAAAGAAAGGAAGAATGAAAAGAGAGTAGTTTTGGCATTAGATATTTCAAACAAGATTGTACAACACAAATATAGCTGTGTTTGAAGAAGGAAAAAAAAAATAAATTGTTCAATATTGAGTCTTCCCTGTAGCCTGGCTGGCCATTTACTTTGCTGAAAACAAATTTTCTGTACAACTTCCCCACTCTCCCCTCCAAACTTCTAAGCACGCACACACACACATACACCCCAATCAAAAAAAAAAAAAAGAAAAAAAAATCAAATAAACACAGAAAACATTGAGAAGTGCCTCCTTAGCATTTTTTTTTTTCCTGGAGAACCTTTTTTGTTTTAGAAACTGCAGGATGTACTAAACAGTTTGATTACATTTCAAACTAGAGGCATTTAATGCCTCATGATCTGTATCATGAAAATAGAAAAGGTGGGGTAGGGGGGTGGGGAGAGGCAGGGGAATAAAGG